AACTTTGGTATACAGGAAAAGTAAGTGCACGCAATGGAGTAGGCATCATTATAGATAAGGAGTGGAAGAAGAACGTTGTAGAAGTTAGCAGAATTGGAGACAGAATTATTTCTTTAAAAATGATAATTGGACGTGAGACTGTTAATATTGTTAGCGCTTATGCGCCGCAAGTCGGGATAGAAGCCAGTCTTAAGGAATTATTTTGGGAGGATCTGGAGGGGTTGATTCGACACATACCACAGAGTGAAAAGATTTTTATTGGAGGAGACTTTAATGGGCATGTCGGGAGGGAAGCTGGTCAGTATGCGAGGGTGCATGGTGGTTTTGGTTTTGGAGAGCTAAACAATGAAGGGCAAACTCTTCTTGATTTCTCATTGGCGTATGATTTTAAGATTGCCAACACTTGTTTCAAGAAGAGAGATGAGCATCTCATCACCTACAAAAGTGGAGCCTCAAGGTCGCAGATTGATTTTCTTTTGGTTAGGAACACAGATAGAAAACTTTGTAAAAATTGTAAGGTGATCCCCGGAGATGCTGTAACGACACAACATAGGGTCCTAGTCCTTGATGTGTGTATTATGAGTAAAATCCAAAAACGTCGACAAGTAGTAACACCAAGGATTAGGTGGTGGCAATTAAAAGGTGAGAAGCAAGATATTTTCAAGCGAAATCTTTTGGATAAAGGAATTTGGGATTCTCAGGGAAGTGCTAACATCATATGGGAGGATATGGCTAAAAAGATACGGGAGGTTGCAAAAGTAGTTTTGGGAGAATCGAAAGGTCCTGGTCCGAGAGATAAGGAGTCTTGGTGGTGGAATAATAGTGTACAGGACAAAATCAAGTATAAGAAGAATTGTTTTAAAGCCATACATTTGTGTAACAATGAGGAAAATTGGGAGAGGTACCGTATGGCTAAGAAGGAAACTAAGAGAGCTGTGGGTGAAGCTCGTTCTAAAGCTTTTGAAGAATTTTATAAGAACCTTGAGACGAAGGAAGGAGAGCAAAATATTTATAAGATTGCCAAGAGTAGGGAAAGAAAATCAAGAGATCTAGAACAGGTAAGGTGTATTAAGGATGAAGAGGGAAGAATTTTAGTTACAGATGATGAAATTAAAAATAGATGGGAAACTTATTTTTCTAAACTTTTCAATGATGGAGAGGATTCATCTAGTAACTTGGAGGATTTAGTAACTGGTGAAGGAGAACAAAATTTGTCATTCTATCGAAAAATACGTGATAAGGAGGTAAAGGAAGCTCTTAAGAAAATGGCAAATGGTAGAGCTAACGGACCTGATTGTATATCTATCGAAGCGTGGAAATGTTTAGGTGAAGAAGGGGTGAGATGGTTAACTAAGTTATTTAATGTGATTTTACGGTCCAAGAAAATGCCTGATGAGTGGAGGAGAAGTACATTAATTTCTATTTATAAAAATAAAGGAGATATTCAGAATTGTACTAACTATAGAGGGATTAAACTCATGAGCCACACAATGAAATTGTGGGAGAAAGTAATTGAGCACAGGTTGAGATTGGAGACAAGTATTTCTGAGAATCAATTTGGTTTTATGCCAGGTAGATCAACTACAGAGGCGATTTATCTACTAAGGGGATTAATGGAAAAGTATCGTTGTAAAAATAAAGATCTACACATGGTTTTTATTGATTTGGAAAAAGCTTATGACCGTATACCAAGAGAAGTGCTTTGGAAAGCGTTGGAAAAAAAGGGAGTACGGATTGCTTATATTAAAGCCATACAAGATATGTATGAGGGGGTAAAAACTAGTATAAGAACGCCTAGTGGTCAAACAAAGGATTTTCCTATAAAGATTGGGCTACATCAGGGATCATCTCTGAGTCCTTATTTGTTCAACTTGATTTTAAATGTTTTGACGGAACATATTCAAGAGGAAATCCCGAAATGTATGCTCTTCGCGGATGATATAGTTCTTATAGCAGAGACAAGAGAAAAGGTTAATTGCAAACTTGAGTTATGGAGGAGGACATTGGAGTCGAAAGGTTTTCGTCTGAGTAGAAGTAAGACGGAATATTTATATTGTAAATTTGATAAAGGACTATTCGAAAATAATTTGGAAGTGAAATTGGGAGATCAAATTATACCTCAAGTGGAAAAGTTTAGATATTTGGGAGCCATTATCCAAAATGATGGCGAAATCAGTGGAGATATTTCACATAGAATTCAAGCTGGGTGGTTTAATTGGAGAAAAGCTAAAGGAGTTATTTGTGACCGTAAGGTGCCTAATAAACTTAAAGGAAAGTTTTATCGTACTGCTATCAGACCGGCAATGTTATATAGTAGTGAATGCTGGGCTCTAACGGGACAGCAAGAGCATAAAGTTGGAGTAGCAGAGATGAGAATGTTACGATGGATGTGCGGACATACACGTAAAGATAAAATTCGAAATGAGCACATACGTGAAAAAGTGAGGGTGGCACCTATTGAGGAAAAAATGGTAGAAAATCGGTTGAGATGGTTTGGGCATGTACAAAGAAGGCCAAGGGAGGCACCAGTGAGAAGAGTGGAACATATAACTTTGAGTCCGATTAAGAGAGGTAGAGGAAGGCCTAAGAGAACACTCTTGGAAGTTGTTGAACGTGATCTCTTAATTAATAATATTTCTAAAAGCTTAATAAATGATAGAGCACAATGGCGTCTTGCAATCCATGTAGCCGACCCCACCTAGTGGGATAAAGGCTTGTTGTTGTTGTTGTTGTTGTTGATGTTGTTTGGCTGTGCAGTGGTTACCCACTAAAAGAGTGAGAAGCTATCCCTATGCTATTTTTGGGCCCTACAAAGTCCTTTGGAAGATTGGGCATGTAGCTTATGAGTTGGAGCTGCCTCAGGATGCTAGAATTCATCCCATTTTTCTTGTGCCACTCATGCGCCCTCCCTATGGACAAAAGCCAACTACTACTATTGCTTCTTTACCACCCTGTTGATTTTGAGTTGCATTTGGAGCCTACTCAAGTGCTAGCTCATCAATTGATTCACCATCACTCTCTTGAATTGTTGGTGCAATGACAAGACTGACTTATAGAGGAAGCAAGCTGGGAGGATTATGACCTCTTGCAAGCTCAATTTCCCTCCTTCCAACTTGAGGACAAGTTGAGTTTTGGGAATGATAAGAGACCTCTGATGACTTATTTCAAAAGGAGAAAAGGGCAAAAACTGAATTAAGTTATTTTTGTTGCTTTTGTTTACTTCAAAGTATTTTGAATAATTCTGTTTGAGAGATTTTAAGAGTTGTTTCAGCAAAATAAGGGACCATATCTTCTATTAAGGTGTGATGAGACCTGTGAATTGATAAACCAGAAAAACAGAAAACATGCAACAACAGAGCACAAAACAAGGGAAATCCTGAGGTTTTAGATTAATATAATAAGGTGCTGAATCAGAGTTACAGGAAGGACTCCCTGATTCAGTATAAAACCCTCTTCCCTCATTACAATGAAAAGCAACCGAGTTTGTCTACAAGGTGATCCTACCTTGTCAAAAAATCAGACTACCCTTAAGTCTCTGATGCGTGCCATGAGGAAGAAAGGGGAGGGGTATTTAATTGAGTATTAAGGATTGATAGGGGAGAATGAATAGACTGTGAATCTCACTCCAGAAATAGAAGAGCTGTTGCAACAATTCCCATTAATGTGTCAAGCTCTTGAAGGATTACCACCTTGCGAGCCAAGGATCATGCTATAATCATCAAACCTGGCAAGCAACCACCGAATATAAGGCCATACAGGTATCCCCATTTACAAAAAAATGAGATAGGTGTCATTTTGGTATTTGAGAGTTGGGAGGAGAGGACTGGCCTCTCGAAAGCCAGCAAGTGTTCTATATTAAGAGGGACTGGGTTAGCTTGGTATTTATTTTTTTGACAAACATTACATTGTGCTACATAAAGCTGGATATCTTTCTTCATGCCTTCCCAATATGCTACATTAGCTAATCTCTTGTAAGTGTGAAGGTAACCAAAATGTCCCCCAACCGGTGAGTCATGAAATTCCCGCATTAATAAGGAAATTTGGCTGGAGTTTTTTGGTAGAACCATTCTGCCCTTGTAGAGTAAGTACCTTTTTTCCAAGCTGTACCCTTCTACATTGTGTGGCTTGGCAATGAGCTGCTGCAAAATTTGACGTAGCTTGGGATCCGATTAAACCTCCTTCTCCCATTCTTCAATGTCATCATGCTGCCATAAGGAGAAACCAAACAACTCCATAGGTTCTTCTTGCCTAGAAAGAGCATCCGCAGCCCTATTCTCCTTGCCGGGCTTGTAGACAATCTCAAATTTGAAACCCATGAGTTTTGAAACCCACTTTTGCTGATTTTCTTCAACTATACCAAAATGACACCTAATACGCTTGGGGACCTCAAGCCTAACTATAAACCCAAAAGACAACCCTCATGGACTCCAAAAAGAACCTTCTCCTAGGCCAGGTCAAAAGCAACTCTAAAGCAGCCTTAGTTGTTATTTTCTTGCTCTTTAATAGTTGGAGCAATCAGGTCAACATTCTGACCATCTGAAGGCATCTTTCCTTTTTCATGCTTCTTCTTTGTTTTCCTTTTGTAGGTCTGGGCAGCAAAAGTAATCCTATCAAGGTGGTTCAACGTTACTTATTTTCTAGCTGTTGGAGTTTGTTTCAGATATTTTGGGGATTATTCAGATTTGATCTTGTTATTTTTGCATGTACTTGAGCTCTATAAATATGTTAGTAACTGAAAAGCTAGTCAGATTAAGAAATAAAGCTTATTTTACCCATTGCAGATTCTCCTAACTTTTGGCTAATAAGAGATTATAAAGTGAGATTCTTGCTTTATATTTTAGTAGTGGAATTGTTCTACCGTTATTTAGTTTATCAGACTTGACCAGTTACCAAGCTTAAATGTCATTTGTCATTGCATTTGCTTGATTTGAGGGTGTACTTTTTTCCAACCTCTCTTGCCATGTTCTGAAGGTTATAGTTTGTATTCTCCATTCATGCAGGGGAGCCTCGTCTATTGGATTGCAAATAGTTCTCTAGCCATCACTCAGGTCAGATGCCAATGGTTGTTTTTTTGGTTTATCATGTAGTTTGATCCAATGTTTTGCAATTGGTTTTCAAGAATGTTTATCATATAAACTTGGCAGCAATTAACACTGAGACATCCGGTCATCCTTGCCAAATTGGGGCTGCAAGAGGACATTAGTCAAAAACAGGATTCTGAGAATTCTGGTGCTCCTGAAATTGTGGTCTTGGATTCACAGGAGTTACAAGACAAGAACAGTTCTATAAAAGCTTCTGAGGAAACTAATGTTCCTAAAACAACTAGTGATTCACCTGAAAAGTGGTTTAGAATACCTGCGGAGAATTTATCTCCCAAAGAACTAACTGCTGTGAGTGGCTGAAATGTTCGTGTTATTAAGACCCTATTATGAATGAAGAATTTCTCATACATTTATGGTTGTACTTGCTGACAGTTTTCAGTTCAAATTCATGCTGGTGGGGACAGAGAGAAAGCCTTTCTCTTACTGAAGTCAGTTATTCTTTCTCGAATTTTTAAAATCCTTGCTGAATGAGAAAAGAGTGGGAAAATTTGACAAGTAAACCCCCAGTGATCTTTTTATAAGCTCCATATCCGATTGATGCATTGCATTCATAACTTCCATATGCAGACTGGCACTTGATAAGGATCCTGAATATGTAAGAGCTTTGGTTTTAATGGGGCATCTTCTATTGCAGAAGCAATCAAATGCTGAAGCTACTGGTTACTTCCAGCGTGCAATTTCCAAGGTGTAAATTTGGCTTTGCTCCATTTTTCAGAGAAAAAAAAATATTATGCTGATTAAATTATATTTTTTACGTACCTTTTTGAAGTTACTGAGCCAAATAATACTTCTATATTGATCAAAAGGTATGTACAGCAATATATACATGAGCAAGAATGATCAAATCTCCGAGAATAAAGGAGACAGAATCAGAGGAGAATATCAGGGAATGAATCGCATAAATCCCTCTATTTTAAGTACCCAATATCTCTCCTAATAATAACATATTTTTACATTAAATAATTACTATTTCTAACTACACTCCCCTTGAAGTTGGATCATAGATGCTAATCATATCCAACTTGCTAATACAATTATCAAACGCTAGGTTGTGTAATCCCTTGGTGAGTACATCTGCAGCTTGGAGTCTAGTTGGTAGATAGATGAGGCACACAACTCCTTCTTCAACTTTTTCCCTAATTAAATGTCTGTCAATTTCCACATGCTTGGACCTTTCATGTTGGGCAGGATTTAGCGTCATACTTATCATAGCTTTGTTATCACAGTAGAGCTTTAATGGAGGATCAACTCTGACATGTATCTCATCCATGACTCGTTCTACCCATAATACCTCTGAAATGCCTTGAGCCAAAGCCCTTAATTCTGATTCAGCACTGCTCCTTGAGACCACTCTTTGCTTTTGGCTTTTCCATGAGACTAAATTTCCCCATACAAAGGAACAATATCCTGATGTTGACCTCTTATCCTTGTATGTTCCTCCCCAATCTGCATTTGTATAAATTTCTTATAGATTTTGTTTTTTTGAATAACAACCCTTTTCCAGATGTTCCTTTCAACTATCTCAAGATTCTATACACTGCTTCCATGAGCCTCTCCCTAGGGTTGCACATATATTAAGTTGCAACGCTTACTGCAAAAGCTATATCTGGCCGAGTGTGAGAGAGAGATTAGTTTCCCAACTAACCTTTAGTATCTCTCGTTGTCCAGTGACTGATTCTTCTCTTCTTCCTCTTCACAATCATCTTCTTCAGATTCAATCTCATCTTCCTTCTCTTTTCTCAGTTTCTTCCCCTTTCTCTTAACCACGATGGGCATGTTTGTAGGTCTACACCCCAACATACCTGCCTCAGTAAGCAAATCAATGATGTATTTCCTTTGGGACACATGGATCCCTTTCTGTGACCTTGCAACCTCCATACCCAGAAAGTACTTCAAATTTCCAAGGTCCTTTAATTTAAATTCCTTCCTAAGAGCCATCTTTATTCTTTTTACTTCCTCTTCATGATCACCGGTGACAATTATGTCGTCAACATATACTATGAGGATACACCTTTTTCCGCTTTCCATCTTCACAAACATAGTATGATTAGACAACCCCTGTGTGTACCCTTCTGCCCTCAAAACTTTGGAAAATCTGTCAAACCAAGCCCGGGGTGATTGTTTTAAACCATGCAACGATTTTTTCAACTTACACACCTGATTTGTTCTCCCTACCTCAAAGGGTAACGTCATAAAGACTTCTTCCTTAAGATTTCCATTCAAGAAAGCATTTTTAATATCTAGTTGATGCAAGGGCCAATCCAGATTTACAGCTACAGAAATCAAAATTCTGATTGTATTCAGTTTGGCCGTGGAAGCAAATGTCTTTTTGTAATCCAAACCATACGTTTGAGTAAATCCCCTCGCCACCAATCGTGTCTTTAACCTGTCTAAATTTCCAGCAGCATCATATTTAGGGTTAAATACCCATTTACATCCCATAACTTTCTTTCCTTTTGGAAGTTCTACTATCTCCCACGTGCCATTCTTTTCCAGTGCATTCATTTCCTTAAGTACAGCATTTTTCCATTCGGAATGCTCAATGCTTCATACACATCATTAGGAATCTACACTTTGTCAAGGTTAGTTACAAATGCATGAAATTGTGAAGACAAGGTACGGTAACTCACAAACCTTTGAATGAGATGCTGTGTACACATTCTAGGTTGCTTTCTGAGGGCTATAGGTAAATCTAATTCTTCCACTTCCTCCATCTCAATTACCTCTTCTGCCTTAGATTCTTGAGAGTGATTTTTACTCTCTATGTTCTCAGTCTAAGGAGCCCCTCTTAGTTCAGATTCTGGCTGTACTTTAGGCATAATAGTCTCCCTTTCTTGCCATTTCTTCCTTGAGTAAGTGATTGGTGTCTTTTCCAGTGCATTTTCTGCATTTTTATGATGCTTTGAAAGGCTCTTCACCTTAGTTTCTGACCTAGGAGACTGGATTCTGAGTTCGGTGATATGAGGGACAAGAGATTCAGAATCTGTATTGTACTGAGATTGAGAATTTTCTGGGTTTTTTTCTGGACTTTTCTCTGGAATATAAAGTTTTTCTGGTTTTTTCTAGAATAACAGGACCTGAAACATCCTCACTGTCCAAATGCTGAAAGTCACTCCCTCTCTCCCCCTAAATTGAAGCATTTGGGTAAAAAGGTTCGTGCTCAACAAAGGTAACATCTCGAATTTTAGTATAAGGATCAAAACACTTATACCCTTTTTGTGTTGAGGAATAACCAAGGAAGAGACACTTGACAGCTTTAGGATCCAATTTTTGGGAATGGTAAGAGTGAATGTAGGTGGTGCAACCAAATATTTTAAGAGGTAGGTCAGTGGCAAGGTGAGTGATGGAGTGAGATTCTTTGAGTTTCTCAATTGGTGAAATATAGGAAAGAACATGATTGGGCATACGGTTGATTAAGTATGTTGCTGTAAGGATGGTATCACCCCAGAAATATTTGGGAACATTATATGTGAATAATAAAGCATGAGCAACTTCTAAAAGAAGTTTGTTTTGCTTTCCATAATGCCATTTTGTTGAGGGGTGTTAGGACAGGTGCTTTTATGAACAATTCCATGGTCATCTAGAAACAGATTCATGGTTTTATTGAAGTACTTGGTCCCATTATCAGTATGAAGTGCTTGAATTGTGGCATCAAACTGGTTTTTTATCGTAGTATAAAATTTGGAGAAAACAGAGGGTACAGAAGACTTATCTTGTAATAAGTAAACCAAACACATTCTGGTGTGATCATCACTAAATGCAATAAACCATGGATTATGGAAAAAGGACGGGTAGACTTATATTCCATAGGTTTGAAAACAGATTTGTGATGTTTAGCAAGTTCACAGTCAGTACAATGAAATGAAGAATTTTTATTGGCTTGAAATTCAGGAAATAAATGACATAAATACTAAATTTGGATGACCCATTCTCCTATGCCATCACATAAGATCTTTAAAGTCTTTATTTTTTGAGGCAGATGCAACATTGCACTGGATTCGAGACCAAAGACTACTCACGGTAGATTCATCAAGATAGTAGAGACCATTATGCTCCTTAGTACTGCCAATCATCTTCCCCGATGAGAGGTTCTGAAATATACAATGAGTAGAACAGAAATGAGCCCAATAATTTGCTTTAGTCAACTTACTAATGGACAGTAAACTACAGGCCAAGTACGATACATGTAAAACATGTTCTAATTTCATAATTTCAGAAATAACGACACTTTCTGTCCCTGCTATTGATGAGGAAGAGCCATTTGCTGTGCTCACTGTTTCATTTCCAACACTAGGAGCATAGGTACTGAATAGCGTAGAGCTGATGTCATATGGTTCGTTGCCCCAGTATCAACAATCCATTTGAAGTTATTAGTAGAAGTAAGGCATAATTACCTTTATGAGCCACAGATGCAGTATGATTTTGTTTCTGCCTTTTTTCATTCTGTTGGAGCATGCTGAGCATCTTGAGCAACTTACTGAGTTGTTCCTTATCAATCTCTGGCACCGGTGGGGTTGATTCTGGTTTATTTGGTGGTACACCATGGGAAGTCTGATATCCTTGTGTCTTTCCTTTTCTCGGCTTCCAGTGAGCTAGTTTGCCATGTATATCCCAACATGTCTCATGAGTATGTCCAGTCTTCTTACAATGGTCACAAGTTACCTTCCCTTTTTGGGTCTACTGATTCGTGTCATTACTCTTGCTCACAAGTGCAGCCGAGTCTAAAGATGGTTGAGTGGAAGTAGGCCCCGGAAGCATGACTTTGCATCTTGAAGCTTCACGATGCACCTTAGAGAATACTTCCCTGGTTGATGGAAGTGGTGTACGACTCAGAACTTGTCCTCGTACATCATTCAAAGATTGGTTTAGACCAGCCAGAAATTGAAATACTCGTTCACTTTCAATCTGCTCCTTATACCGTGTTGCATCTTGGCTGCTTGACCACTCTAAGTCTGTCATCAGGTCTAGTTCCTGCCAAATAGCATTAAGTTCCAACTAGAAGGTCGTGACATCACACTCCCCCTGTTGCAGCGTCCATGCCTTCGTTTTGAGCTCATATATGCGAGCTAAATCCTTCCCATCAGAGTATGAGTCTCGCAAAGCCTTCCAAATTTCATGGGCTGAGGGAAGAAATATAAAACTTTACTGGATTTATGAAACCATGGCATTTATCAGCCATGACGATACCAGCGTGTTTTTAGTGTGCCATTGTTGGAACTCTTGCGTCTTGGATTCTTCTGGAATTTTCAATGAGCCGTCAAGGTAGCCCGTCTTCCCCTAACCTCCAATTGCGAGTTTCATGGCCTGTGCCCACATACGGTAGTTCGCACTGTTAAGCTTCACAGAGACAAGATGTACTGAAGACCCTTCGTGGTTGGTAGTTGATCCTATGAGACCACCTATCTTGCTCGGATCAATCTTAGAGGACCCATCATTAGTGGACATCAGGATAGTATCAACTGGGTTCGACTCACTCTCGGTACTATTTGCTTTGAAGCTCTCGGTGTCGGATTCCACTGGAGAGTATCACGGCTCTGATGCCATGAAGTTACTGAGCCGAATAATACTTCTATATTGATCAAAATGTATGTACAGAAATATATACATGAGCAAGAATGATCAAATCTCCAAGAACAAAGGAGACAGAATCAGAGGAGAATATTAGGGAATGAATCGCGTAAATCCCTCTATTTTAACTACCCAATATCTCGCCTAATAATAACATATATCTACATTAAATAATTACTATTTCTAACCATGCTTTTCATTTATGAAGTAAAATTTGATTTGATGTGCTTTGAAATTATTGTCAGTGAGATTTTTTGAATCATAGAACATTTTATCATATATAGCATTTGGCAAATATCTAGTAATTTGAAATCCCTATTTGTGCATATGCAATGAACTACTAATTAACCTTTTCATTTGTCTCCTTTTTGCTTTCTCTTCTATAAAATTCTCCGTTTATTCCTATTTTTGAATTGTTTGCTTCCTTAATCATCAGTTGTTTCTTGGTCGTTCCCTAGCTTACTCTTGCTGGCCAGCCAACTGAAGTGGAGGATGTTGATCTTCTAATTCTTGCTTCCCAATGGGCAGGCGTTGCCTATGAACGTCAGGTGAAGTTCATACGTTGAATTGAGAACAGGCTTGGATATTCAGATTAGTTGGCAGAATTCAACCTTTTATGGAGAATGTCTTTGTTGCCTGAATGAAAATTGACCATCTTTTTTTTTTTTTTTGGGGGGGGGGGGGGCGCTGCCAATGTTATCTGTTTCAAAACCTGTGGTCAGCTGATTCTCTTGTGCATCATTAAATTAATAACCTAGAGCATGTTAGGGCTACTGTTACCTAACCAGTTGGCATTGGCAATTTTAGAAGTTTGCATCCTCTGAAAGATTGAAAGGATTCTGTGCATTATGTTTTCTTGTCAAATTTTCCTCGTGGTCAGGGAAAGAGGGCTGAAGGATTTGTACACTTTGAAAGAGTTGCAAATATGGAAGAACCCGAAGATCCAGCATGCAAAGCTCATTATTTTAATGGGTTACTATTGCTTGCGAGGTCTGACTTTTGGTAACTGCCTCTGTTGAAACTTAAATGAAACACCGCCAATTCCTAATTTACTATTCTATGTCATTTCTTGGGTTTCCAGCACTCTATATGATGCCGGGCAAAAGGCTGAAGCTGCCAAGTATCTCCGTCTTGTGGTTGCTTATAAACCTACTTATCGTAGATTCTTGGATGCATGTGAGCAGGATGAAGATATAGCCAATGATCTTGCAAACAGCAGAAGAGAATTATGATTTCAAGTTTTGTCTACCAATTCCCTTCTTTTTTAAAACAAAAAAAATAAAAAATTAGTAAGTTGGGTTCCAAAGATGCACGAGAGCTTGGATAGATCATATTAGCTGAAAGAACATTTACGGGTATACTTGCAAATTATCCACCAATAATTCGAGATTGATCATATAAACTAAAAGAGCATGAAAGTTGAATAAGATTTCATTTTAGCAGTAATATATATCCCTGTTTTGTTGGGGGGGCTAAATTGGACTAGCTTTTGTCAGCTCACCTTTGGTAAGATAAGCAAAATACATAGTAATTTGTTTTTAACTTCCCAATCCAGTTTTACAAATTGCAAAAGACAATTTATTCGTTGTTGTTCAAGCTTCACTCATAAGTTAATTCATTTTCTGTCTTTTGATGTATCGCATTTGCTCCTATAAGCAATCGTCCTCTAAGACTTTGCTGATAATGCCCATTGTATTATTGTGCTGTTTCAGCGGATTGTTTCTCAAACGAATTGTTTAAATCGTCTTTTGTTTGCGGTTATTATTTTACATGCTTTTGGACAAACTAGCTTTTATTAGCCGTGCATAGATGTATTTCATCTACTATATTCATGACAGCTCATGCGTTAGTAAAATCAATCTTCAATTTGTACCGAAGGGAAAAATCAGTCTTCAATTTTATAGTTCAAATGCAAATCAAAATTAGTTTGAAATTTGATGGAAATACAACTAATTTTTTAAGAATAATATAAAAATAAAAGAATAATTAATATTTGTTTGCGGGAGAGTTCTCTCTCTTCTCTCCCTAGGTTTTCTTCTCAGCTCTATGCTCTTTTTACTCTCTGGGAGCTTGCTTCTACCTTTCCTGTTTTTTTTCCTCATCATCATGATCCCTATATACACACTTACTCTCTTGGATTGCTGAGATTTATGATCGAAGACGCTTTCATCTGTCAAAGTTGCAGTAATATATTTCACGCTTTTGGCATCTAAGATCTTAAGTCAGGGTTATCCAATCTCATAACAATCGTTTCTTGCGCTTTTTCTATAACACCAGACTTTCGATTCATGCTTCACTGTGGACCTTGGCTTCTTAAATCTTAATGGTTGTTTGATGATTCTTCACAGTTGGAAGTCACATACAAGATTACAAGGTATTTCTCTCTCTCATGTTTCTCTTTGGGTTCATCTTACTGGCTTGCCTATGAAATTTTATACTACAGTTGCCACTTCACTTTATATAGGGTAACTCTATGGGTACCTTCATTGCTGTTGATGACTCTTCCCTTTTGCAACCATATGGTCTGCGTTTTCAAGTCTTAGTTGATATCACTCAGCCTTCAAAGCTTTGAGGAATTCTGGTTTTTTTTTTTTTTTTTCCTTCTAATGGCAACACTCTTGATTTTAATATTTACTGTGAAAGGATTGCGCGTTTGTTTTAGTTGTCATCAAGCTGGCCATGTTTCTCACAACGTCAGATCTTTCTCAGATATAATCTTCAATTTTGCACGTTCATGATATCTGAGTTTTTTGCACGAAGAGTCTCTTTGGGTCGAATTTGATTGGCGGTTTTTTAAATACATATCTTATTAGAGGCCACTCTACTTGAGATTCTGTCATGGACCAATAGCCTTTGAGCGGGATAATGCTTCTTCTTTCTTCCCTGGAACACCAAGACCCTGGACCTTGAAAGTCGGTCCAATGTTCACTGATTCCTCAAGTACAGTTGTCAATGTGCACGTTACTCCTCCAGCTTTTCGCTGTCATAAGCGAAGCTTCTCTGATCTGCTGTAAGGTTCTGATTCACCTTGTGGGTATCCAAATAAACGATCTAAGTTCCATTTGGATCTTCATTCTGCGTCGTTGAATCACAAACTTTTTTCACCTCAAGCACAGGTTTCTTCATGTGGCAAGGATGTCTCTCTCTGTTTTTTCATCTACACCTGTCGATGGTTCTTCTATGGTTTTTTGGACACGTAAACTCCAAGATGACTTCATCAACTGTGTCATGTAATTTTTAATTAACTACTGCATTCTTCAAGTTTTTCGCTCCACTCTTTTACTTCAGCAATCACTCTTTTTGGACACGTAAACTCCAAGATGACTTCATCATTATGCCAAGAAATATGCGCAAACCTCTCGTCATCCATAATTTCTGGCATGAAGCTTACATTCGCGTTTTTCCAGTTGAGTCATGCATGCTATGATTTCATGCATGTGAAAGATCATGATGGTGGACATTCCCAACTTATCTCAGATCACTTCCACTGCTTCTATTCAGCATGTAGTTTGGAGCCCCCCTGTCCGTTCTCCTTCATAGTCAACATACTGAGCTTGGTCTTGATTCAGCATGTCTTTCTGCTATTTCATCATCAATACTTAAGCGCAAGATTGCTCTGTTCCATTCTGATGAAACACAGGAAGCCGTTGCAACTGGGTTTCTTGAGGTTTTGGCCAAAAAACATTGTACCTCTGGATGACTACGGTAGAGGCCTTCATGGTATCCAGCATCATGGAGGTCCCAGAACGAGAGTAAGGACAAATGGAATGAATGAGTCCAAGGCAAGATACCTGGCAGATTCTCACTAGACTAATAAATAGTGCATGACCATGCTTGGCCGTGACAACAGACTGTGAAATGATGACACGAATAAGCAATAGTACAGAGAGAATATGCACGTATACAAGGGATACAACTAATCACAATATTATAAACCAAGGTTTGATCATACGTTTCAGCCTCAGTCTCATGGCTTCTCTCCTCAGGAGCTCTATGCTTCATCGTCTACAATCAATGACTCCGCATGGTACTTGGATAGCTGGGCAAATTTCATGCTACTCTACTCGACTCAGCTTGATCGTGTCACACCAGTAGGTAAAACTCACTTAACTACATGTACAGGTGAACACAGGCGTACCTTTGATACCAAGAACGAGAGTAAGGACAAATGGAATGAATGAGGCCAAGGCAAGATACCTGGCAGGCTCTCTCTAGACTAATAATAAATAGTGCATGACCATGCTAGGCTGTTATAACAGACTCTATGAAAGGCTAACTCGTATGAGCAATAGTACAGAGAGTGTAGGATTCGAAAACACAAATGAATGAATTCACAAGAAAAGGAGTTTTGGACAGAGTCTTCTTGCCCGCCCACACGAGAATAGACTAATAGAGCCTAGATTGAAGTGCACAGCAGATGCACCAAAAGAGAGAGAGAGATTTTGATAATGAGAATGGTTCATCTTTTAGCTTTCAACTTAAGCCTCTATTTATGGGTCCATGGATCGAAAGGAAGACCTAATCAGATATTAATTCTCTCATTATGGAGGAAATAATTTGATTGAGATCATTGCCATTAATGTAAGGATAACTGCCCTATTAGCTGTAATATCAACTAAGACATTACCACAATTTAATCTTGATTTGGGTTAGCTCATAATGACCTGAATATTTCCCAATCAGTGTCATAATGGGTGTAATATTCCTATATCTCCCACTTGCACATGAGGATGCCATCATCTTGCACAGCTTATTTCTTTCTTTTCATACTTGGTGCTCTGTCATGACCATCGCACAAGGTCATCTTGTTGTACTCCTATGTTGTAGTTGTAATTGCCTTAAGCACCCCAGGTTCATTCATACAAATTACTTATAGTGCATCTAATCCCTCTTAAGTTAATTAATTTAACTTAGATGGCCTTCCATTGTGCTTAGTACCTACACTTGCAAGTCCAGATTTCTTTACCTGAATGCATGAAACTCTTCTTCTTTCTCAATTCTAAAAGAGATTGGAAAATATCGATTGAAGAATATTTTTTTGACTTCTTCCCATGTGAGAGCATATGTCACTTTCACCTAAAAATAGCTAAGTTAATATTAATATAGTACTGGTGGCAACCTAGGTCATTCTTCACTAAGGATGCTAACTAAGGTTAATTAAGGCAGATTCCTAGAAGTTATGGGAGTGTTTAATTATACATATCTAATTAAAAACTTAATTAACTAGTAAAATGAAAATGAGAATGTTTAAATCTTTTTAAAGTGGAGTCTAAGGAGTTATGGGATGCTTGATTCTTTATCTATTGTAATAGGCTTGATTTTTATCACAGATTTTTCACAAAAGGAAACCTTTCCCCCTTTTCCTTTATAAATAAATATTTTTCTCCAAAAATATACTTGTCCAAACAAAACAATAACAAGATTAATAATCACCATTGGGCTTAGGGCAGAGGAAGCCCAATAAACAATTTGAAATGAGTCTAGGTTCAATAACATTTTATAGATATCATCAATTCTGCTAAACACACATTTTTTTATACCATTAATATATACATCCCAAAATAAATAGGCTTGGCCCAATAAAAAACACGGTCTAGATTGACATGTTTAAGAGTTATCTAACTCAAACAAAAAAGATTAAGTAGTTCTAGTCAAATAACCTATAACAATTATCCAAAGTAAAATTTATAAAAAGTTTCTAGGTTATGGCAGCTATAATTACAAAATAAACTGAAAACCATGTGCCAAGTTGAGAGAAGGGAGCCCAATGTCACAACCTCTATTCAAAAAGAGAAGAAACCATGACATTGTGGTGCTTTTGGAGACATCATGCAAAGATTTCCAAGAAGAATCTAGTATGTTCTAGAATGTTCTAAAAGCATCTAGAACAAAGTAGAAATATCTGGAGAAATCTAAAAGTTTCTAGAAAGTTCTAGAAACTTAGAGAGGGATGTGAAGATGTCTAAAATATTCTAGAATGCTCTAGAACATTCCACACATATCTTAAAGTTTAGTCTAGAAATATCCTTGAAAATATCTAGATATTTGTTGTAGATAATTTTATGAAACACTCTAGAGGATGAATGTAAATCGTAGGAGTGGATTATTCTTCATCGTCCAT